TCTTTCATTGACAATTAAGTGATAAATTTGAAGGAAGCCAAAGCAGTTTTTTACTTCCTAACTCTCGCTTTTTTCTTTATGGATAAAGAGATAAATCTCAAGCAGTTGTGAAGATGGAAAATGAGGCAGAAATTTATAATAGGAAGGAAGCCAAAGCAGAGTTAGGGCTAGAGCCGGAGAAATTGAGAAATGATATTATTCTTGGTTTACAACTTCACGAGTACGCCCCAGTTGGTCAAAAGTCTTCAAGGTAAAAGAAACAATTAAAGGTGGTGCGTAGTACATATAAAAGTAACATTTAGTTTAATATACAACCCAACCCTTGTTTTCCTAAATATTTTCTTTTTAATGAGTGCACTCAAAACCATGATGCTATTAAAGCAACAGAATTATATACCCACAAAAGATAAATGCTAATAAAGTAGTAGAATTCTAATGGTTCTTCTGAGTTGTGTTAGCTTAATCGAATATTGTTGATGCTTGTGATTTGTTTTAATATTGCATGCCAATTGTTCGATACATTGCTGCAAATAAGTTTAATTTCTTTGGCAATTGTGATTTTTTATATTTGAGCAAGCTTTCCAGTTGTTTGTCAAGATGCATTGATATTAGTAGAGCGATAAGATACATAAGACCCATTATAAGTATGGAGTAGAGCTGATCAAACTCAGCCTGGTTCGCTTACCCCACCAAACCTGACCTGAATTTAGGCGAGCTTTATTGGACAAATTTTTCCACCCGAAGCCGTGTTAGTCCCAACTTAGCCCGAAATTTATTATTTTGTGGGCGGGCTTGGGCATGCATTTTTACGATATTTAGTTACTTTTTTTGGTCCGGCTCAAAAAGTCCAACCCAAACTGTCCTATTTTACGGTTTTAGACAAGCACTTTTCTGCCTGACACTTGGCCCACCCGATCAAGCACACTGATTTTTGTTACCTTGGATCGGCCCAAACTCGACATGATCCGCCCTTTGATCACCACTAGGGTGGAGGCCTTAAGTAGCAGTTTTAAAAATTAAATACCATCCAAATTAAGGATTAGATATTCAAGATCAGGTTCATCTTTTGTAAATATATTGTGAATTAGGTTTTTTATAAAGAGAGTACTACATCCTTATTTAAGAAACATTAACTTTTAAAAACTATGTACGATACCTATACTAATAAATTGAGGAATATCATATAAAGTATATGTAATTTTTTTTAACGTAAAAAAAATGGTGTGATCTATGATGTTTTAAGTAAATCTTAAGGGACAGACCTCACCCTTTGGCATAGGAACTAATTGTTCACAAATTCTCCAAAAAGGTGAGTGTACGTTAATTTCTTACAAGCAGATTAAAGTTATCTTAAACGTATTTAAAGTTATCCTTTATACTATAAAAGTTATTATTTTTCTAAGGGAAATTCTCAACGGCAACCCCCAACAATTGCTACGCACCAACGGTAACCCTTTTTTTTTTGGATTATACGAAATGACCTTAGTTATCTTTTTTCTCCTAATAATGACATTAATAATGGTGTTTTAACATAAAATTAAACCATGGTTAACCAAAATAGAGAAATGACAAAAATTCCCCCTTTTATTTGACAGATTTATTTATAAAAAAAATAATAATTAAAAGAAAAAAAAAATCAAAGCCCCCAGCCATCGGTTAGCCCTTATCCGGCGACATCAAGGCCGAGAATTCTCCCCATCGCCACCTCCACCTCTCCTTCTCCGGCGACATCAATCCCTTTCCCCTCCCCATCGCCACTCTCCTTCCCCGGCAACCCAACCCAACCCAACCCAACCCCCGAATCGTAACAACCACTCGAAACCCCAGTTCTCTCTCCTCTAAAACTCAAAAGGGGTTTCGTTGTGGTGGCTTTTTATCAACAAAGTGCGAATTTCGATTTGGATTTTTCGATCTAAATTTATGAATTGCGGTTATAGTGGTAGTTTGAATGTTTTGTAGGTTCAGTTTTGGTGGTTAGTGGTGTTTCGATCTGGGGTTGTTGTGGTGAGTTCGAATTTGAGTGGGTTTGTGGGTTGTCGATGGATTGATGTTGGTTGATTTGTGGGTGGTTGGGTTTGTCCGATGCTAAATCAGTGGTAGTGGATGGTTGTCATGGTAGATGAATCGGTGGTGGTGGAGGATCGGTGGTCGGGGTTTGGGGTTCTGGGTAATTTGCTGGTCTGGGATGGTCGTCTGTGTTCGGCGGTCTAGAGTCCAGGTGATCGGGTAGTAGGGGTCGCCGGCAGTGAAAGGGAAAGGGATATGGCGGTGGCTGGTTGGTGGAGATGGTGGTGTGGATTGATGATTGTGGTTGTTAATTTTTCTAAATGTTTTTCTTTTTTGGGATATTCTCAACGGTAACTCCCAACATTTGCTACACACCAATGGTAACCCCCCTTTTTTTGGATTATACAAAATAACCTTAATTAAAAATTTCATCTCACTCATAACCTTATTTCATTAAATTAATTAATTATAGTTAGATTTATATTTTTTAAAAATAAATAAATAAAAAATTTAACCCAACCACCTGCCCAGCCACCCCCAACTTTATTTTTTTTCCCTTTCTTCTTCTTCTACCCTTTCCCCCTCCATAACTTTTGGCCACCACCTCCCCGGCCTCCTGCCCTAACCTGCCCAGCCACCCCCACTTCCACCGGCACCATCACCTGAACCACACCTCACCTGACCCCAAAACTCCACCTGACCACACCCCCTTTCACCAAACCCAACCCCTTCTTACCCGATCACTCTCACCGGACCACAAAAACTCACCGAAACCCACTCCGAAACACCACATCCCACCCCCCTTCACCAGAACCCGAAACCTCTTCGACACCTTCATCGGACTCCAAAACCCCACTGACCCCATCACAAACAACAAACCCCACCGCGGAATTTGATTGAGGTATTGTAACTCGAGGTTGTGGGACTCGGTAAGTCAATTTGATTCAAATTCAGGCGAATCAAGGAAGATGATAGAGACATTAGAGGAACACGAGTTTAAGCTTTGATGAGAGAGAAGAGACGGCGATGATGAAGGAGGGTTTAGTGAGTTGGAGTGAGTTAACTCGAAGTGGGTTGACAAGGGTTAGAAGGGGAGACCTTTGGGAGAGAGAAGAGGTTTTATGGGTTTCGGCGCAACGTGGGCTTCCGGCGAGGGCTAGAGTGGGGTCGCGCGGGATTCAGGCACGTTGGGTGGCGGGCGAATTAGCTTCGTCGGCGCAGGGGATAGGGTTTGGGCAGGTGGCGGTGGCCGAAAATTGGAAAGAGACGGGAAGGGGATGGGTTTTTGGGTAGGGTGGCCGGAAGGCAAGTGGGGCAGGAGGCCGGGGAGGTGGTGGCCTAAAGTTATGGAGGGGGAAAGGGTAGAAGAAGAAGAAAGGGAAAAAAAATAAAGTTGGGGGTCGCTGAGCAGGTGGGGGTGGCTGGCAGGTGGTTGGGTTAATTTTTTTAGGTTTTTTTTTTTAATATAAATCTAACTATAGTTAATTAATTTAATGAAATAAGGTTATGAGTGAGATGAAAATTTAAATTAAGGTTATTTTGTATAATCCAAAAAAAGGGGGGTTACCATTGGTGCGTAGCAAAAGTTGGGGGTTAGCGTTGAGAATATCCCTTCTTTTTTTCTTTAAAAAAAAAACTAACCATAGTTAATTTTAATTGACTATTTTATGTTAAAACACCATCATTAATGTCATCTTTTAGAGAAAAAATGAAAAATAGTGTCATTTTGTATAATCCAAAAAAAAGGGGTTACCATTGGTGCGTAGCAGAAGTTGGGGGTCGCCGTTGAGAATTTCCCTTTTTTCTAATAATAAATTTTATCTTACAAAAAACTTATAATGTATTAGATTAATCAAATTAAGGAAAGTCTTGTATGTGGCTAGCCACACGGCGTGACCACATTGGTGTATAACAGTAATCAATGTATGAGTAACCACATTTTTTCATAAGAGTAACCCCATGTTGTCCATAAAAGTAACCCAAATTCATTATACAAGTAAAATCAAGTAATTTAGAAATAAGTAGCCCCATTTGTTCATTCGAGTAAACCCTATTCTTTTGTTTTAAAAAATGAAGGAATAATTCCACATATTTAAGAGAGTAACCTTTTTTTCTCATTTAAGTAACCTAGCTACATACGTTAAGGTAACCCTATTTGCTCATCACCGGACCCCTATTACTTAATTAATTGTCTTATAATATGTGATTATGTGAAATGGCCACACCATTTGGCTAGCGACATATAAGAATTTTTGATCAAATTAACCTTTATAGTATATAATCATGAATATATAAGAAATTACACATTAAAATAAAATTCAAACCAATGACAAATTAAAAGTTACCCTTTAAGAGGTTAAAAAACCAAAAAATTATTTGAAATTACCCTCAAATGGATCGTATTCCAATAAAATTAACGTACACCCGCCTTACATAAGACGTATATATTGTTAATTGTTTCTATATAAGCAACAATATTTAATCAATTATTAAAAGTTTAAAATGATTGATAATATGAACAGATTATCATTAATATGTCCTCATGTACTATTTTGACGAGAAAATAAAAATGCCCAAATTAAGAATTATCTTTGGAAAAACCAAACATTTTCTTAAAATAACTATCCACTCATCAAATGATTGATAATCTAATCAAATGAACAGATTGACATTCTATTTATATAGTAACCTTGAAATATCAAGTTAAATATTACCTAATTTTAGAAACTTTATTTTATCAATACATTATGTGATAAATGTTCACATATACTAATTATAGGTCCCACCACAAACATTTTGGCAAATCTCTAAGAAAACAAAGAAAATAATTTTAGAATAACTATCTAGTTTTGGGAGTTTATTTTATGAAGATGTTATTCAGAACACCTGAAGTTTTCCTTCATGTCTTGGTCATTTCAATTTATTTCTTGACGATTAGAGTGCATTCTCACTCACATATTTTTTATCGTTTTCACCATCAACACCATGGATCAATGAAGTATCACCCATGGAGAAGACATGGATCTCTGTCTCATGAGTTCCTTCTAGCACATAATAATGTTCGTGCCAAGTACGGAATGCCCCCATTAATATGGGACAAAAGACTAGCGCACTATGCTCGTCGACATGCTTCGAAATTGGTTGGGAATTGCTCCATGGTGCATTCGGTAGGCCAATATGGAGAAAACCTATTTTGGGGTAAACTTGAACATTGGACACCATCTCGTATTGTTGAAGATTGGGCTAAGGAATCCGAATTTTTTGATCTAAAGGGAGGGAAATGTACAAAGGATTGGACAGAATGTGGACATTTTACTCAAATTATTTGGGCAGATACTACACGTGTCGGATGTAATCGTCTTAAGTGCGTTGGATCAAACAAAGGTTATATTGGAATATGCAATTATGATCCACCTGGAAATGTGGTTAACCAAAGCCCCTTCATTCGAAATATTAAATCATCAGCTGTTATTAATGTCAATTCTTCACAACCAAAATTTCGTTCATAAATATGTATATTTTTTAATTGAATTTTATTGAACTTTTGTAGTTTAAGAACAAGTAATATTATAAAGTAATTATAGATGAATAAAGATATAGTTCACCATAACTTGTTACAAATAAAAAAATAAAATTAAAATACACAACTTGGAGATTGATTGTATTTCCCTTATATTATTATGTTCAATTCAACTAGGACTCTTGTTTCTAGGAAATTTAAAAAGTATGAGTTGCTACAAAAAAATAATTGAATAAATTAACTAATAAGAGTTATAATGTAAACTACTATTAAATACTTATAATATCGTTTTTTTTAGTATAGAAATTCTTTACAAAGCGTCATCTTTGATAGGAAGAGAGGTGTATCTTGACACTTGTGTCGGTAACATATGCACATCCTTTGTAAAATTGTAGGAAATAATAAATATAAAGGGTTCACTTCCCTTTTCAAAATTTTGAATTAGTGCTTCAATGTCACATTTTCAAGCATAAGTAATTAGTAAAACTTTTTTCTATAAAGAAAAAGAACAACCACATTTGTGTCAAATTTTTATTATAGGATTCTTAATTTTCCATGATCATTTCAGTCTCTATTTCTTTCAACCTTAACATTTGAAATTCCCAAAGCAAAGTTATTATATTTTTATATTCCATTAAAGCAATGTTTCAATTATATTCTAGGTTAAACCTTTTAATTGTTTTTTAAGGATAAACTTCGCTCATTTTTTTTTATTGGATAAGTTGCACCAAATTGAACATAAGATTTCAAATTTTAGCTTGTTAATAAGCAAATAAAGGGTACCCTTTATCTAAAATAATGTCTCCAAAAAAAGGTTGGTCATTGTTTTCCAATAATTTGAATTTTATTAATTTACAAGATTCCAATTAGTAAATTTTGGTATTTTGTTACATCCAATTTACAACTTTTTTTTATGATGAATTATATATATGTTAAGGATTGATAGAAACTTCACTATATGAAATGTTTTCTTGTTATTCCAACAAATTGATTTAAATAATTCAAAGCATGTATATTGTCTATTTGAAGAATCAATCAAACATGTTTTTGAGACAAGCAATCAAAATTTTCTATATAAGATTATTGTTTTGCAATAGAAAAAATACAAATATATTATGGTTTTTTATGCATTTCCTAGCTAGTAATTTTCACGAGTGATAAAGAAAAGTCAATGATGTATTTTTTATTTTAAAAGTGCACAATGTGTTGCACATGTAAATTAATTTTCTAAAGCACTTTTTTTTTACCTTACATCTAATAGGACAACATGAGAGTTGATTGCTTCCTCTATAATTTGTTTCTTTCACTCTAATAAATGAATTAATGGTTTTATATCGTAAAAAATTATCTTATGATATATAATATTGGTTATTTGTCAATTGTTGTTTTGATATTTTTATTATTTGGGGACATGAATTAAGTAAATGATTTTTGAATTTTTTGTTTTTTATGTACAAGTTACAAAATCTAATATGTTATTATTTTATTTACTTCTGTTACAATAAAGGACTTTGCGAAAATACATGGCTCACCGACCATATAGTAAAATTTATCTTTTCAACAAGTGCTTAATTCATGTCGTAAATTTTGTGTGTTGAAAAAAAATATGTTTGATAGTACTTATTCTATTGTTATCTATGAGCTAGATCATTAAATTATAAAAGCATTTACAATTTAATATCCAGCACTCCAGGGGTAGTATATGTATGTGAAAGGAATGGTGTCCTTCAACAGGCTCGGCTATTAGCATGTGCAACCTGGCCCACAACACGGGGCCCCAACAAAATGGGCCTCAAATTTTAAGTCTATGTACATATATACTACAGTATAAAAATAGCACGCTGTAAGAAAGCCTCAAATGATAAGCGGTGTCATACTGATAGCTCTTTTAGTTTTTACAAGGGAAGAGATTCGAATCCCATCATTCTTTTTTTAGTTCTATTTTTTTCTAAGTTTTTTTTAAACTTTTTCTATTTAAGTTGTTTTTTATATCTATAACTCAACTATTCTTATATAAGTATCATTTTCCCTATTAATGCAATTTGACAACTTGCAATTATCACCTCTAATATGTATCAATGCAACTATCATTTCGAATCCATGAAATGGCAATTAATAGGGAAAATGATTTTCTTTAATTTTTCTTTTAATTAATCGATTCAATTCTCTACCTCAAATCAAATTGGTCTCTTGTATTTTGATAGGCCTAATTTAAAAAATTAGCACAGGGCCTCCTAAATATGTGAGCGGCCCTGTCCTTCGAACAAGTGTATTATTCTGACAGTGGGTTTTAGAATTAATTACGGAGATAATTATTCAGTGAAGTCAAGTGATCGGAAAGTCGAGATATAGGCAATCTTCGATTAGTAATTAATCTCTCAGCCAAGCGTGCAACCAAACTAAGGCGACGAATTAAGCTGATTGTAACACCTTAGAAATTCCTTTTTACCTGTTTTGCTCTTTTTAAAATACGAAATAGGAAAATCTAATACATTACCGCTACTGTGATAACGGCTAAGGCAATTATCAAAAACACCAGCGGAAGACTCACTTTAAAAACCATTCAAAAGAAGTCAACTTAAAAAGTCAAACCAAACGAAAGTAAAGTCAAACCAAGTCAACCTACAACTTGGAATTATTGTAGGCCCTTAACAAAACCCAAAATGAATATTAAAACCTTTGTGTTAGTCTCACAAACAAATATATAATAATCAAAGTAAATAAAACGCATCATATTCTAATGGAAACTAAATAGGATTCGCTCTTCACTCATGCCCATCATGAATATGCTTCATCACCTGAAAAAATTCTCTTTAATTTGTCCCCACTACTCACCATTAGAAATGGGTTGTCGTAGGGCCATGATAAAGACAAGGTCAAACAAACATACAAACACACAATCAAAAATGTTAAGTACATAAGTGTAAACAGTACACACTAACATGCTTTCATCCTATCAACACACAACTTACCTTGTTGCACCTGTTTACAAGCATACAACATACAACACAAATAAATTGCTTGTTTTAATTTGATTACGCATCGGACGGGTTTTCCACCAAACCCCTGCCTAAAATAAATTGAGGTAAACTACACCGGGAGCTAATCGGGTAGGCAAATGTCACATGAAAGTGACGGACTTCCTACGGATAAAATAATAAAAGAAAAATACAGCGTCCTATACTCCCAATAGAAGCTATGGTTAAATATAAAACCCCATAACTCCCCCCATATGTTCATACTTGAGGTATATACGTTCCAAGAGTTTTGGTGTGTTATCTCTTTCACTTTACGTTGTTTACGTATTTTGGACTTGGTGATGACTCTCAATAAACAACACAATCAATCAACATAAATATATTTTATTCCTGTGTACTAGGACACTTAATAGCTCAATTCCTATGCTTATAGCATCAATAAATATTATATGAATCATCATAAAATTCCCTTTTTGGTTTTTTCACCATATACCCCTGAGTTTTGTTTATTCACCATATACCCCTGAAATTTTATGAATTCACCATATACCCCTGAGTTGTTACCAAAATTCACCATATACCCCTAATGACAACAGATGAGTGGAATTTGGTTAATTATGCATTAAAACCACCTTAGATCTCTCTCCCCCATCCCCAAAACCACTCATCTCCTTTCTCCAACCCCCGAAATCACTCCATTAAATCTCCATAACTATATCCGTATGATTGATTTTGAGGATGAGAAAAGGAAATTTGGGTAATTATTAGGGGTGGGAAAAGGAATATGGGTGATTAAGGGGGTAGGGGAATATATTTAGGGTGGTTTCGGGTCATAATGAACCCTAATGACGGACGAACATAACAATCATTATTCATCAAGGTTATATGGTATATTTTTGTGAAAATTCGGAGGTATATGATGAATTTAAAAAAATTTAGGGGTATATGATGAATAAACAAAAAACTCAGGGGTATATGCTCTCAATCATGCCAATAATAAAAGTGTGGTTCATAATCAACATGCCAACATAATTAATTCCAATCGTCAATTCACCTCGAATAATTCATACTTCACAAACCAATCACCAACATAAATCCAATCAACAATTCCAACCAATACCTATCATGATACTATCTTAGAATTTATTAAACAAAGCCTAGCATGCTTCTACACACTTAAATAATTACTAAGTACGCGAACGTACCTCGAACATGTTCTCAAAATCATCATGACTACACAAAATCACTCACTTGGAAGTCTCCTACAACCCAAAATTACAAAGAGACATTAATACCTATTCATAATAAATTTCCAGCAACATATACACTCTTTAAATCACTTTTAAACCCTCTAAAACATTCTGAAGATTAATTTAAACCACCTACTTTTATTCCCAATTAATGGATAATTAAAAATCCTTTCAAGAAACATAATTCTAGCCTCTACATAAAAATTCCAGCATTATAAAAACTCTTAAACTTGTTGTAATTTAGTTTAAAAACATTAATTTGAATAGTTTTAATCATCTACAATCAAATTCCATCAATACACATTATTTTAGAAACCTAGGATTTTCAATTTGGAGTTTTTTAATTCAAAAACTAAATCAGAAAATTATATAATATTAATCATTATTAAAGCATCATAAAATCATAACACACACCCAAAATCGATAATTAAATCAAATCTAGATTGAATTAAAAATAAAAGAAGATTTTTTTTTGTAAGGGCCGAACACAAGAAGAAGAAGGAGGGGAGAGTAGTCGGTGCACCACCTCCTCGCGGCTGGATGCTGGTGGAGATCGGCTGTGGTGGTGGTGGCAGCCGGCCACCGGTGGTGGTATGCGTGTGAGGTGAGAAGAAAAAGGGGAGGGGATAAATTAAGGGGAAAGAAAAATAAGAGAGAGAAGGAGATTTTACCTTCGGGTATTCTCCACCTTGGGCAAAGTTTAAATTGCTCATATGATGAGTATTTATACCCTCTCTCAAAACCCTCCTAACTTAAATTCCTTTTCTACCCTTAATGAATCCTAATCCTATTCAAGGTAGTCATTGACTTTCTTTAAAATTCCTTTGACTTTAAAACTTCCTTTGTAAATTAAATATGCCCCAATGTTTCTAAATAATAAAATAAAATATTTCTAAATCGATTAAATAAATAAAAATGGACTTTTAATTAAAATAATCCTTTTTAAATTATTAAAATACCATAAATAATTCATTTCGAATTATTTAAATACTTTATATAATAATGTTTTAAATTAATATAAGTATAAAAATACGGGATATTACAGTCTACCCCCCTTAAAAGAAGTTTCGTCCCGAAACTTGGGTAACGGAAAATCAAACTTTTTCCTCACTTTGTGTAATATTGTTATACTCTTTTAACATTCTTTTACCTTTAATGTCTCCTTAAAATCAAAATTACTCGAAATAACCGTTAAAAATGTGCAAAAAGCACTAAAATAACTTAAAATATAGGGAAAAAGCGCGAAATTCTACCGCATTCTAACCCCCTTAGAGAAAACGAGTTACGTCCTCGTAACTTAACATACCTCAAATAACTCAGGGTATTTCTTTTTCATCTCATCCTCAGCTTCCCAAGTTTCCTCTTCATATTCTTAGTTAGACCATAGCATCTTAATAATCTTAACTTCCTTGTTGCGTGTACTACACACTTTACTATCAAGGATCTTGACAGGACTTTCCTCATAAGTTAAACTTTGATCTAACTCAATTGTTTTAGGTTGTAGAACATGTGATTTTTCAAGTATATTCCTTCTTAACTACGACACATGAAATACATCATGCACCTTACTTAGCTCCATAGGTAAGGCCAATCTATAAGCTATTTTGCCTATCCTCTGTAATATCTCATATGGTCCAATGTACTTTGGTCTAAGTTTTCCTTTCTTCCCAAATCTCATGACACCTTTCATTGGTGACACTTTTAACAACACTTTATCACCAACCTCAAACTCTTCCTCCCTACGCTTCAAATCTGCATAACTCTTTTGACAGTCTTGTGCTGCTTGAATTTTAGCTTGAATCTCCTTTACCTGCTTAACTGTATCTTCGATCATTTGAGGCCCTAAGATCATTGTTTCAATTATGTCGTTCCAACATATAGGACTACGACACTTCCTTCCATATAATGCCTCAAATGGAGTCATACCAATGCTCGCATGATAACTATTATTATAAGAAAATTCAATTAAGTCCAAGCTATCTTCCCATCCCCCTTGGAAGTCTTTGACACAATCTCTCAACATATCTTCGAAGGTTGAATAGTTCTCTCAGTTTGTCCATCTGTGGTAGGGTGAAATGTTGTACTCATCTTTAGTATTGTACCAAATTTTTCCTGCACACTCTTCCAAAACTTTGAAAGAAACCTAGAATCTCTATTAGACACAATATCCTTTGGAACTCCATGTAACCTCACAACATTCTTGATGTAAGCTTTTACAAGCTGCTCCATCTTCCTGGTCTCCTTCATTGGCATGAACACTGCAGATTTAGTAAGTCTATCCACCACGACCCAAATGGTATCATTTCCACTCTTTGACTTTCAGAGTCAAGTCACAAAGTCTATAGAAATGCAATCCCACTTCTATCTAAGAATTTCCAATGATTGCACAGTTCCTTGCGGTCTCTTGTGCTGTATTTTCACCTTTTAACAAATTAGACACTTTGCTACAAATTTTGCAACTTCATTCTTCATTCTAGGCCACCAATACATCTGTTTCAAGTCTTTGAATAGCTTATCCCCTCTAGGGTGTACTGTGTATGGTGTATTGTGTCCTTCCTCCATCAATTTTCTCTTTACTTCCACACATTTTTGTGGTACACACCATCTACCTTTGTACCTTAAACTCCCATCTTCATGAATTTTGAAATTTGTAGCTTTTCCTTGCTTTAGTATCTCATGAATTATATCCAACTTTGCATCTCCTGCCTGATTTTCCCTTATCTCATCAAATATTGTTGGTTGAATGCTTAGATTCGCAAGTATATCTGCTGGTACTCCCATTCCACCACTTCTAGGTTCATTTTTCTCATTTCCCTACACAATTCATCAACCACTATCAAAGTGTTCAGTCCATGACTGGTTTTACGACTCAGAGCATGTGAAACTACATTTTCCTTCCCTTCATGGTATTATATGTCCAAGTCGTAGTCCGTTGCAAATTCTAACCATCTTCTTTGCCGTTAGTTTAGATCACTTTGGGTGAAAATGTACTTCAAACTTTTATGGTCAGTATAAATTCTACATTTCACCCCATACAAGTAATGCCTCTAAATCTTTAGTGCAAAAATGATTGCAGCTATTTCTAAGTCATGAGTAGGGTAGTTTACTTCATGAGGTTTTCACTGCCTTGATTCATATGCAATCACACTTCCATTTTGCATACGCACACATCCCAGACCATTCTCGGATGAATCATTATACACATCGTAGATTCCACTATCATCTGGCAATGTTAGCATTGGCGCCGTAATCAACTTTTGCTTCAAAAGTTGAAACGCTTCCTCACACTTCTCGTCTCACTCAAACTTCTTGTCCTTCTTCATTAGAGAGGTCATAGGCTTAGCAATCTTAGAAAAGTCCTTCCCAAAATGCCTATAATACCCCGCTAAACCTAATAAACTCCTAATGTCAGACATCGTCTTTGGCGTAGCCCATCCTTTCACTGCTTCAATTTTTGCAGGATCTACTTCTACACCATCCTTGGGCACAAAGTGACCTAGAAATGCTACCTTCTCTAGCCAAATCTCACACTTGGAAACTTCACATAGAGCTTGTTCTCCCTCAAAGTTTGTAGAACTGCCCTCAAATGTTCCACATGTTCCTCTTTATTCTTCGAATACACCAGTGTATCATCTATGAACACTACGACAAACTTGTCCATAAATGGATGGAACACCCTATTCATCAAGTCCATAAAGATCGCTGGAGCGTTCGTCAATCCAAATGGCATTACTATGAACTCATAATGTCCATACCTTATTCTAAATGCAGTCTTGGAAATTGAATATCCTCATCTGTGATCCTCTACTGATGGTATCCGGACCTTAAATCAATCTTGGAAAACACAGATGTGACCTTCAATTAGTCAAATAGGTCATCAATCCTTAGTAATGGGTACTTATTCTTTATGGTGACCTTATTCAACTCCCTATAGTCAATAAATAACCTCATACTTCCATCCTTTTTGTAACAAACAACACTGGAGCTCCTCTAGGCGAAGCACTTGGTCTAATGTACCTCTTTTCTAGTAAGTCTTGCAGCTGCTCCTTCAACTCACTCATTTTTGCAGGTGCCATTCGATATGATGCCTTGGAAATTGGCGATGTCCCTAGGACCAACTCTATTGTGAAATCAATTGCCCTCTTAAGTGGAATCCTTGGAATCTCTTCTGGGAACACATCCAGAAACTCATTCACCACTTCTATGTTCTCAGGTTTGCTGTCTCTTCGTGTTCCAAGTTCCTTACACTACAAAAATATACTGGATGTCCCTTCTTTACATACTTAACCAATTTCATCATAGAGATGATTCTTGGGCACTTTGCTCCACCATGCTTCCAATATGTTACCAACTCACCCTCAGCTGTACTTAACTATACTTTCTGCGATCGACAACGAATCTCCGCACTATACTTGCTCAACCAATCCATTCCCAAGATGACTTCGAAGTCACTTAACCCAAACTCAATGAGGTCAAACAAAAACACATTTCCCTAGATCTTTAATGGCACATCCGTAGGAATAACTATAGGTACATCTATGACATCTACGCTTTTCAAACACTGCGATAACTTTGAAACAATGGCTTTTGAAATGAAAGAAAAAGTTGCACCAAAATCAAACAAAACTTTAATAGGAATAGAGATGATAGAAAAAGTACCGGTAATAACATCCTTCGTAATTTCAGCTTCATGCCTACTTATCACATTCAATTTTCCTGGAGCTCCACTCTTCACCTAACTATTCCCATTATTGTTGCCTTTCACCCCATTTTGTTGTGCCTCTTTGTTCCCTACATAGTTGTTGCCTCCCTGAAAGTTCCTTTGAGCCCCTCCTTGATTATGGCCCTGCTTGTTTCGGTTTGAATCTTTGGAGAAGCACTCATACTCCCTATGTCCCAACTTGTTGCAAGCACGACAAGTAACCAAATTACCCTCACAGTCTTTACTAGGGTGATCATTCCTACACCTCTTGTAGTAATAATGCCTTGGACCTTTGTTATTTCCCTGGTTGGAGTTCTTAGCTCCTCCATTAAAGTTTCTCCCACCTTGGCAATTGTTACCATGGAAGTTATTGTTGTTGTTGAAGTTGTTGTTGTTGTTGTGGTGGTATTTCTGCTTTTTGAAGTTGTTCTGGTTACCTTGAGGGTTTCTAGAGTTTTGTCCATCTCTTTTCTCTTTTCCTTTCCTTCTACCTCAGCTAATTCCTTCTTTTTCTTCAACTCTAAAGCATAAAGGTGTGCAGACCTCCCATAAGCTTGATCTAAGGTTTCGAACACTTGTCCACACAGCTTTAGTTGAAGATTAGTGGTCAATCCACTCTCAAACTTCCTAGCTTCTCAATCTTTGGCAAACCTTGGCAGCTCAATAAACTTGGTATAAATATTCAGTGACTGACATATCTCCCATTGCTAAGTTAGAAAATTCCTCAGCTTTCAGTTTCCGTGGGGTAAAACTTGTCCCTAACCTTCTCCAGAAACATAGTCCAATTGAACCCAGGTAGTGCCTTAATGGTAGCCTCATTTTGTTTCTACCAAGTTCAACTTCACCCTGAGGTAATAGGTAGCACAACCCACTTTCGAATTTTCTGGGCACCCTATTGCCCCAAACAGCTTCTCAAACTCCCTTAACCTGTTTTCTAACACTGTTGGGTCTGGTTCGCCTTGATAGGTTGGTGGCTTGTTTTGCGCCACCTTCTTGAACAATTCCCCCTGAGCATCCCCATCGTTGGTCGAGTTTCCTTCGACCATTGCCAACTGCCTTACAACCTCACTTAGCTCACCTCCTTCATTATTGTTCCCACTTCCTCATGCCATCTTTCCTCTCCTGAATTAAAACAAGGGGTCTTTATTAATTATGGTCATGGTTAGCTCTCAAGTTAGACACCCATCTAACTAATTTATACCATTCATACACACACATTTAATTTAAGTTAGAAAATTGAGGTTGCAAAATTACAACTCCCAAATTTTGCAGCTTGATTTCATCTCTAGTGTCTCTTTTTCTTTTAAGATTAATGGAGAGGTGACGGGTGCGGTGACTCCTACTTGAGGCCTCTGATAAGGTGACCCAATTTAATTTACTTTATTATCCATGTTGCTAATAATGATAAAACTGTGGGTGGTGTGAAAATTTTTAGGGGTGCTCCTAGAGTGTCTCATCTATTTTTTTGCCGACAATAATATTCTTTTTACTAAATAAAATCTCAAAGAATGCTCGAAAATTGCTGATATAATCAATACAAATGAATGAGAATCAGGCTAGAAAGTTAATTTGAACAAGATGAAGGTTGGTTTTATTAGATGTGTTTCTGTCGATAAGAGAAAGGATATAATTGAGACTCTAGGTGTGAGGGAAGTCGAGAAGCCTGAGAAATATTTGGGTTTGCCGACGATCATTTGAAAATCGAATAAAGCTATTTTTGCGATATTGAAGGAGAGAATATGGAAGAAGTTAAGTAGGTGGAAGGAATGGCTACAATTTAGACTAGGGAAGGAAGTTCTTATAAAAAGTAGTGGCTCAAGCTATCCCGACTTAAATGATGAGTATTTATAAAGTCTCTAGATGTTCTAATTGTTGAGATACACTCTTTGTTGTGCCAATTTAGTGGGGGTTGACAGAGAACAAGAGGAAGTTGCATTAGGAAGAATTGTGTTTGCTAAAGGGCCAAAGGGTCTTAATTTCCGTGATCTCAAATATTTTAATCAAGCATTGTTAAGCAAAGCAAGTTTAGAGGCAACATACTAATATGGATTCATTGCAACACCGCATTCTTAAAGCTCGGTATTTGAAGCATTTTGATGTCCTTGAGGCTACGATCCTAGCTTTTCGTGAAGGAGCCTGTGGGGTGCAAAGTCTCTACTTAAAGAAGGGGTTACAATGGCGTGTAGGAAATGGGTCTCAAATTAATGCGTGGAACGATAAGTGGCTGACTTTGGAGAATGGAATTATATATCTCTCGCCAAATGAAGAGAGTGATCCGGAAATGAAAGTAAGTGAGTTGGTGTGCAACAATGCGGAGATGTGGGATAGTGAGGTGATTGGCAGTATGTTTCCACTGTATGTGTGTGCAAATATACTTGCAATTCCATATAATAGTGTTTTAATTGGCAGCATACAAAGAATGGGGTTTACACCGTTCGTTCTGGGTATTGGAAGATGGGTGCAAATGGGAGTGGTAGTGTGGATAGCATATCTGGGAATGTGGAAGTGTGGCGGGCTTCATGAGGTGTTAAGGGCCCTCCCAAATTAAAGCACTTCATTTAGAGCACGTGTTGGGGAATATGACAGTGGGGGATAGACTTGTTTACTGTTATATTGTTTCTTCCTCTATATGTAGTGTGTGTGGGGCTGTGAACGAATCCATTATACACTCGCTCTTCGAATGTGACGTAACAAGGGATATTTGGCAACATTGTGAGTTTAAGAGCTATGTTGAGGAAGCTTCTTCCTCTTGATTTGGAGATCTTTGGCTTTGGCTAACGAGGAAGTGTAGTTTTAATGTGCTAAGTACGATAACAACACTATTTTAGGTAGCTTAGAGGTGCCAGAACTTGATTGTATTTGAAGATGTAAGGGGAAATGCAATGATAATTGTTGCTGGGTACATGATATTGGTTGAGGACTACATATCCTATGCTAAGAGAGTGATAGATCAAGCCTGCTGATACGCATTGGTACCACCTCCTAATGGGAGGACCAAACTCAATACAGATGCACATACAATGGAGGGAAGTCGTACGTACGAGGGTGGTGTGCCGTAATAATGAAGGCAATATTCTAGATGATATTGTTAGACACACTCATGCTAGCTCACCTGAACTTGCTGAAGCTCCAACTGTAAGTTTTTGCTTAAAAATAGCCAGGAGACTTGGCTATAAACTGGTGTAGGTGGAATGTGTTGCGATAAATGTTATCCATGGGGTGCATGGTTCTGCTGAAGGAGTCTCTCTGATTCACGTAGTGTTCGGCGATATCAAGAAAGATAGTTTGTTGTTTACTTCAAATTTTCTCTTGTTAAGTGGGCTTGTAATACGGTTGCCCATTTGGTTGCTAGATGGGAAACTGGTAGTAATATGGACTACTTTTTATTTAAGTTCGTTTCCCCAAAGTACATGTATTTTGGTGGAACTCGGTTTAGTCTAATAAAAGCCCGCGCTATGTTCCCTAAAAAAAAGGGAATTTCTCTTTAGTAACACTCTGTTTTTCAATTTTCTCATTGGTAAATTGTAGAAAAGCCTA